CATGAGAAGTTGCAGGGTATCACATTGAGCCCATCGGACTCTGGATTTTCACTGCATGAAAATGCTGAGGTTCAATTACACCTGGAGAACCCCAAAGGGAGACCTGAGCGCTGTGTGTTTGGTTGTCTCCTCTGCCTTGCTCAGCCCCTGCTCTGAGCATCCATCTGCTTGTAGTATCTCTCTGGGTACTCAAAGAATCTCCTTTTGCGGATGCAGCCAAGCACCCCCCAAAGCGCAATGAACTGAACTAACAGTTGTGCTCTTTTCCCTTCCTTTCTGTAGGAGTTGTAGTTGGTTTGCATTGCTTTGTCTTGCTGTGGAGCTGGGGGTGTGGGAAGGGAGGAGGAGGGGAAGGCGAGCCTGGGAGCAGCCCTGGCAGAGCCCCATTTCTCACATTGACTGACCCGCTATGCTGGGCAGTGGCTTGAATTTCCCATGCATTGCGTTGGCCGCTACCTCGTGAAGCTGGCCATAGTGAGCTGTGCCAAAGAATCACATCAGGCTGATATCCAACACCGGCTGAAGGAAGGAAAAGACCATTGTGCATTCATTTCCCTGGCAGCCAAGAGACCGTCCTTTCCCCAAAAGCACAAGGCACAGGGCTTGACTTGCCCACTGCTGCACATCTCCAATGCGGTGATCCCCACCTGAGCCCATCCTGTTGGGTCCCCTGCCCCTCCCAAAGGAGGGAAAGTGGCAGTTTGAGGGAATATCCCATTGCAAATGATGCTCTGAGTACTTGTTGCCTTCCAAATACCTGATTCCAATGATAACTGCACCTTGGGCACCTAAACCTACATGAGATGAATCCTACCAGTGTTATCTTAAGAGGGTATCTGAGTCAACCAGGCCCCACAGAGCAACCAATATGGAATTGGTCAGTGACATCAGGTGATCCTGGGCTTCCCTAGGTATTTTGGGGGCCTCCCCATCTCTTGGAGCAGTGCCTTTTGCAGCAAGGGGATCTGCTCAGCTCAGGGCAGTCTGGTAGGTCTTGCTGGGGATGGTGGGATGGGGCTGGTGCTTCCATGGTGAGGAGCCCCTGCCTCTCAAGCATCTCTGAGCTGTGATATCAATGCTGAAAGCATTTCCCTTCTCACTGCTTCATCCCACATGGGCTGTGGGGGAAGCAGAGCTCTTGGAAAGCATCTTGGCATGTGTGGGAGCAGGCGAGGGCTGCTCGTGCTTTCATCGCAAAGCAAACAGGGATCAGATCTTCCCAATGCAGTAGCTCTGCTCAGGCTGTCAGCCTGGCATTGCTTTTCTTGTGTTTGGGGTCTGAGCACCCCAATGTTTTCTCTCACTTCTATTCC